TCTCTCTCTCCTCTCTCTCTCTCTCTCTCTCTTTTTTTTGCACAGGGATTGAACTCAGGACCTTGCACTTGCCAGGCAGGTGTGGCACCACTGAGCTAAATCCCCAGCTCACCTACTTCTTAATTCAGCCTCACTGCGTGGCTCAGCTGATTTTGCCGTAGTCCCTGGGCCCCTCTGAGCCTCTTGTATTCCGGTTCTTCCCATGGTGAGCGCCTTGGGCCTGTCTCTGAGGAGCTCGGGAGCTTGTGTGGCCTTGCCTCCAGGAGGCCCTGGTTCCTCGCGTTGGTTCTGAGTGTTGCCTGGAAACCCATATCGGGCTCTGGACGCCTCCTTGCCTTGGGAAAGGCCCTGCTTCTGGGTCCCCTCCTGAGTGAGCGGGGTGTGTGGGTCTTTGTGCTTTACCCCAGGCCCACGGGCCATTTCCGCCTGTGTCTGGCCATCTGTGGGTCTGGTTCAGACTTGGGATTCCAGCAGTGCGCCGCGGGTCCCTTCAGCCTTTCCTTGGGGACTGTTTGGGAAGCTTCTGAGGAGGACCTGTGGTGAGCAGGGGCGGAGAACATGGCTTCTGCGCAGGTCGTGCTGTGCTCTTCCCTGATGAACAGTCTTCCTTCCGTCACTCCCGTCTCTGAGTTAGCGCTTCTCTTTATACTGAAAGGGTTCTTATGTCCCTCTTGGCCCTCAGCGTCCTAAAAAGTAAGCACCCTGATGTCTATAGAGGACAGGACGTGGTCCCATTTCGTAGCCGGTGTTATTTTGAAAACTTGTTAAAGAAATTAAGTTTACGTGAGTTAATGTTAGTGGACTGAATGCTCAGGGCACTGTCAATCCGCCCAGACAGGTGACTGATGGCCTCTTTTTGTGACAGCCTGCATTCTTATCTTAGTGCACTCTTCTTTCCGAGGCAGGAATTTCCCGCTCAGCGAGCGCTCTAGCTCTGGGCTACATGGGCGATTCACCCTGAGACATGCAGCACAGCGAAGCCCTCAGCCTCGAGGTGCTGGGTGAAGCTGCCTGTGAGCTTGGGCTGCAGCGACTCAGTAGCTGCTGCTCTAACTAAAGTTGGTGCGATGCCCTTCAAGCCCCTGTGTCCGTCCAGCTGTCCTGTCCCTGCCTGAGCTGAACCGGGACCCTACGTGAGGTGGGGAGGGACCTTCAGCCCTGCGAATGAACAGTTTTCAGATGTCAGTTTAACTCACCTGCGATCATAGTGAGGGGTGCTTTGGTTGGTTTGGCTTGGTTTTGTGGGGACGGAGAGGGGGAGAAGATGGAAGGAAAGAAAGAGAAGTTTAACCATCTTCTCCAGACCTACACCTGCAGAAGTACGTTGAACTGTTCCAG